TAATTTGTTTTTGTCTTTACCATCTATTTAATCATCTGTAGTTTTAACTGTGTATTTTCCTTTTATTTTATTGATTATCCAGGCCCGCCTCGATTAGCACTGCTATCTGCGGAGCCAGGGGACTAAGGATTTATTGTTATTGTTAATGATCGAAATATGATTGAGATTATTTAAAACTTCAAGGTGCTACTCTGGATTTAAGGATTTAAGGAATGCAACCACAAAACTACCATTCATAGACCCAACTTTTGGACACTCCTGTCTAGTGCCTTCTTCAGTGATGACCTGGTCGTTGCAATAAGAGGTCCTTTTATACGATCACTAATTAGCTGCCCTTTTTCTGACGAGGTGCAAATGGGCGTCAGGTAGTAAGCCGCCATCATTACGATTTAAACATAATCAGCAATCGTAGACAGTCAACGGCTTGAACGGTCGGCGCGTAAATTTCGGTATTCAATGTGGCGGACGGACGAAGGAAAAATCATTCGAAAGGCTATTACCGCAGCTTAAAAACTCTAAGTTTTACAGATTTCATGGAGAATAGATCTAAAATAATGAAATGCCCTTACTTTCAATGATATCGCCATTAAAAAATTTTCCAAGGTTAAAGGGAAGTTCTGAGGGGAACATCAGACACGGCACTTAATATTAGCTATCGTGACAGAGCTAAATAACGTCTGCGCATGCGCTTGTTTTTACCGCGAAAAACGGATTTTTGAGAAATAACAATAATACAGTAATAATAATAACTTTATTTATAATTAAGGATGGTAACACATGACGGTAATTCAACTGATGAACTAGTGGAAATAGGAAAATACCTTAAGACGAAAACAAAGTTTCTCGGTTTTAAATGTCAGCCCTTATCATTTCCGATAATTTCGCTAGTTTTTAGACCTAGAACTCTCGAGCCCGCGTTGATGACCGCATACCCACTGACGTAGCATTTCATGATTCAGCCCTGTCAGTCAGCAATCGTTTCCTTTCATGTATGTTAATCAAAATATGTTAAAAAAACAAAATGGCGGTCGAAGTAAAAAGAAAACGAACCGCTCGAAGGAACATTTTTGCCGAAGTAATGGCTTCATTTCCTCGCATCTTGCATTTGTGGAAAATGCCACTTTACAAATTGAAAAGGTACCATGATCTTGAGATGTTTTTGGCGCGAGAAAACGTTTGCTTTCTGTGTTAAACTTGTTATCTTTCGGGTATGATGATGGGGAACCGAATCAGTGCAACCGTTTGCTCGTAGCAGACCAAAGAAACCTTGAAGGTAAGCCCTATTCTAAGGGATAAAAGAAAGAGGGAGTGTGGCTTTCATATGAGGTTATCGGAATGAAAAAGTACCGGCTAAAACCATTTTTTCTCCCTTTTCTTTCGATTGTAATGCGGTTCGAACTTGACTCGATCTATCTATAATTTTTGATGGTGGGGAACGTTGAGTTTCTAGCAGTAACGGCACAAAATGCAGAATATTTTTATTTCCCCATTATTTCCTTTATGCTTCGCAGCTATATTTATTCGGCACTTCCGCGCTTAGCACATGTTCACGGCCATTTTGGTAGCCATCTTGTATAGGATTTCTGTTTATAGTAACTTAGGCCCTGTTTACAAGCAAGGAGGGTAACCCTTGTGCTAGGGTTACCCTAGCAGGCGGGTCAAAGATAGCCCGGGTTTACAAGCAAAATTTCACAGGTAGGGTTACCCTACCACCCGGGACAACTTACCTATGCTTGGTAACCGCACGCATTGTTATCAATGTTCAAAGGGTCTGGAAACAAGTAAAAAGTTGTCCCGGGTAGGCGAGTTATCCCCAGCAGAGCGTTTACAAGGCAGCTAGGGTAACCCTAGCGCTCAGCCAGGGCTACCCTAGTGCTAGGGTAACCCTAGCTGCCTTGTAAACACGTCGATGAAAAAAAGAAGAATGTGGGAGCGTCAGGGTAACCTTCCTGCTAGGGTAACCCTACCACTAGGGTTACTCTACCTGCTTGTAAACAGGGCCTTAGGCAGAGTTGATATGCCACGCTTCCAAACAAGGGCACTGGTGGTAACGTCGATTTGTGATGATCATTTGAAAATTATCCTATCTAATTGTATGATTAGTCAGGCATGTGTGCTCCGATAAAGCTGAATCTAACTATTCTGCACAAGGAGACCTGTTTTTGATGCTCTTTCAACCGATTACCAAACTAACGTTTGGTCTGTCCGATATACTCGTGATCACAATCATTGCATGGAATGGTATAAATAGCGTCGGTTTGTTGTTCTTTCGTGACAAGATCCTCAGCTTTGGCAAAAATATGCACCATAGCCTGAAAAGGTTTTTGAGCAACTTAAATGTTGTGGCTACTCAAAATTCTCTTGATGGGTTCCATAACACCCTAGATGTAAGGAATAACAATAAAACCAGTTGCTGGTTCGTTCCCATCAATATAGAATACCTCATGGAAAGTGCGCACGTACGGTGTTTACACACGAGTTGTGGCGTATCAGAAATCGAACAAGTGAGCGAAGCCAACGAGTGAGATTTCTGATACAAAACAATGAGTGTTTAAACACCGTACAAAGCACTTTCCATGTGGTATTATGTTTGTTATATACATACTGAGATTGAAAACTCTCCTTAAAGTGCACCTAAACCCAAAAATGTTTTTCGCTTAACGATATAAGCTTATTTTTTGGAGTATTTCTGTGCAGAAATTTTTCAATTTCCCCAAATCGTTAATTTTCTGTGCCCAGTCAAAATACGGAAAATCGGCCGCCATCTTTCCCCACGACCGAGTTTAAAGAGGAATGGCTCTAGCGGGTAATGTAATGTCAAATCGAGAACACGAAGTCTGCATTTTGCACATTTTCACTTGTTTGAGAAGGTTGTCGTCGATATTGTCCTAAATATGCCGACTAGGTGTGTTGTATGAGGAATGTGTAAAGGCCAATACCCTCTTCCCAATTTCGCACGTTGCTACATCCTTCTACAACACACTTAGTCGGCATATTTTCGGACAATATCGACCACAACCTTCCCAAACAAATGAAAATGTGTGAAATGCAGACTCTCGTGTTCTCGATTTCACGTCACATTACCCGCTAGAGCCATTCTTCTTTAAACTCGGTCGTGGGGCAAGATGGCGGTGAATTTTCCATATTTTGACTGGGCACCGAAAATTGAATATGTGAGCAAATAAAGAAAAAAAATTTTGCACAGAAATACTCCAAAAAATACGCTTATTTTGTTAAGCCAAAAAATTTTTTGGGATTTAGGTGCACTTTAAATTATGACAAGCTTTATTTGAACAAATGTGGTCAAACAACAATCACTGAAAGAAAACAGCTTATTCGTAAAAGGGAAAGAGCTCAAATAAAATCCAAAAGTTATGAATCCAAAGTTATGAATCGTGGATAACGAAACACTTTTCGTTCATGGCTTTCGCCGAGACAGGAACTTTCAATATTGACGATGGAAGAAATGTGCACAAAAACTAATTGCAAAGCGATGGCTGTGCGGTGTACAAAGTGTTGTACGTAAAATCCAAAAGTTCTCAATCGTGGATAACGAAATGCTTTTGACTCATGGCTTTTGCAACATTAACGAGGGAAGAAATGCGAATAAAAACTATTTGCAAAGCGATGGCATGTGCAGTCTACGAAACTGCGCCAACCAGCCTTGAATGAAAACTTCAACTTGCCGTACGGCTCACGCATGAAAAAAACATGATACACAGCTCCTGATTGGACGTATGGCTTTTCTCACATGTGGGAAAAGTGATACGCGACATTTTATTGGTTTACATCGGTTGGCGAACGAAAATTTACTCTGCGGCTTTACAGCGTCTAAATCTTAGTATGTGTATAATAAGGATTGTTACTAGCTGCAATTATGATTTCTGGCAGATATGAAGAAATGTTTTGGTATAGCCATTTACCTTAAGGATGTCAGAGACATATTTTCTCTCCTCAGCCTTGGAAAAAGTGAAGATGGTAGACAGTCAGCCCTCCAGAGTAAAGAACCAAATCATGTAGAACTGATACCAGGGGCCAACTCTCACACCTGTGGATTAAAAACTCAGATTTCAGGCTATTTATCACCTGTTGATAAATTCCTAGTGTACAGAAGAACAGGAACTTACAGATTCAGTGATAGATAATATATTGTCCTATATTTCTGATAGAGCAGCAAAGATGTGCTTCAGAAATCAGATATCTTGCCATGACTTACTTTTTATGTGACTCATTCACTATAGAAAAGTCAAGACCAGGTGTCTTTATTAAAAGATTTCCATTATATTTTTCATTATTAACGAAGAAGAACAGGAATATACAGATTCAGTGATAGATAATATATCGTCCTGTATTTCTGATAGCGCAGCAAAGATGTGCCTCCCTTGATGCACAACACTGAGCTCTAAAAGCCTCAGATATCAGATATCTTACCACGACTCACTTTGTATGTGATTCATTCACTATAGAACAGTCATGACCAGGCGTCTTTATTGAAAGATTTCCATTATATTTTTTTATTATTAACATAGTGTCATTACTAAACCAAGCTTATCTTTTTTGGGTAAAGTTGGTGTGAGCAACTCCTCACTCGATGTCACTGATGTCACTTTTGCTTAATTGTCAAAACATCAGTCATTAATAACACCAACAGTAATCCCTCTAACCAGACAGACGAACTAATAATCGGTTTTTTTATGGTAAATAACGCAGACGCCTGAATGACAATGACCTGAAAGGAATTAATGGAAGCACCTTCAAACGCATGGAAGAGTTAGAAGAACTGTGAGTAAATATCAGATACTATTGGAGAAGAAATTCCTTGACCTCAAAACAGAACTTTGCATCGAAATAGTTTATCATTTCCCTTTGCTAGATCAAAGTGTTTCAAGATCTGCATTATGACTTGTGCTGTGAAGTGCAATGAAAACGGATCAACAAAAGCAGATAATCACATTTTTAATACAAACATTCTTAATACAAAGAAAATAACTTATAATTTAAACTTTACGAAAAATGTGGAAAACGACACAATTACAGTATTGCTTTGCATAATGTGGTTATTTGTTAAGTTGTCAATTAAATGTTGCAGCTCAGTATTAAAAAGAAATGTTTTGTAAAGTAGAAGCATTCCATTTCCCAACCATCCATTTGTCGTTGATTTTTCCCATGCTTTTGCTTTTCATTTTCTTTTAATCTCTCTTTCCCTTTAATGACAAAAGACAGGTCAGTTAGAAGCTACTTTCAATTGATAGAAATAGCTGGATTTGATACAACTAATCATGTTTCTGTACTTCAAAATAGATGGTTGCAAGACAACAACATCACTGAATTACCTCCTGAACTATTTCAAGATCTAGAAAACCTGCAGGAACTGTAAGTTTTTTTGCATATCCTTTCCTCAGGTATTAGCTTACTGACTGCTCAACTCTTCGTCACTATTCCAAACATATATTAAAGACTGAAAGAAATATCAGTCACTTGTAATATTTCATAACTAATTATATTCCTATAAGCACCAAAAACATAACCTACCAATTTAAGCATCTCAAATTTTGATCTCTGTTTTTCTAATGATCAGTGTAAGATCTGCAGTCATTCAACAATGAAATCATGCGTGCCATAAAGTTTCTAGTGGTTATGGGATATTTTTACCTTTTTTACCTATTTTGGTATCTTCTGAGATTAAGAGCTCGATAATTTCTCTAATTATTTCTACTCTAGGAATGATTTTAAATGAAGGGGGAACCAGCCTACCTCTCCCAACACAAGAGAGTTGGGCGTGGTAGCAATTGTAAAATTGTCAGCTACGAGTTTCTTCTTTTGCTAGAAATATTGACCTTACCAAAATGAATGGGCAATATCTATATACTCGACAGTAACCATCATAAGCAATAAACAGAAATGGTGCTGTTCATCTTGGTTTTATAGATAAACGGACGTTTAATTGTTTGACAAATTGTGAGACAAACGATTTAACAGTCATTTTTCTAAAATGAGCGTATTGCCCAGATTTGACTACACTTTTTTATAATTTTTGATGACCAGCCTCTGTTTGTATTTTTGCTTATAAATTATGACCTACAGTCTTAATGAAAAGACATTTTTGTCTCATCATTCCTAACAGCTATCTGTCAAATAACAAGTTGAAGAGTCTACCACACCGACTTTTTAGCAGCCTTTCCAAGCTGATACATCTGTGAGTGAGATGGCTTTTTAACAAAGAAGATAATTGGGTAGAACCAAATGATAGTTTTTAACATATTGTTTACAAAGGCACAGCTGTAACAGTTCAAACATCATGGAGTTTTCCAGCTTGACTTTGTAAATTTGATCATGTAGATGAATAACAGAATGCTATTTTATGCAGTTGATGTGCTTTGTAAAGTAATGCTAAGGTACTTGGAGGTTTAAAAGTTTAAAAGCTTCTGTATAATAGCAGCCTCAACAACTCCTAGGTTTCTTTCTGCTGAATGAAGTACAAGCTTTTAACATATGATAAACCATTAACCTATACCTGCGCCAGCCGGATAATTTTGCTATTAGATAGATAGATAGATCTATAGATAGAAACTTTATTTAAGTGTCAGGAAAATAAGCTAGCCGAGAGGCAAGCCCTCTACTAATAGGGGACACCTACAATTAATAGAATAAAATAATTACTAAGTTATTATTTTATATATTTGCTAGTAATAATAGCAATAGTAATAATTATAGTAATGATGATGAAATAGTAATAGTAATAAAAGTAATAACAATAATAATAGTAATGATAATGATGATGAAAATAATAATAGTTGTGACAAAAGAAATAGCTTGCATTTGGATATTATCTTTCTTCTTCCGGTGACGTTGCTATTTTTTTTGTAGGTATATAAAAAAAATGTCGAAAGTGGATGTTTCCTTGATTGGCTTCTTTTTTAATTTTTTATAAGGGAAACATATTTCATGTTCGCTGGATAAAGTACAAGCTTTTAACTATTGCTATTTTTTTGTACCTTTTTTTTTTGTTTCTGTTTTCTGTTTCTTTGTTTTGTTTTTGTTTTTTTATTATTATTTCACTGCTGTGAGGAGTTCCCCCCCCCCAAAAAAAAAAATAGTCGAAAGTGGATATTTCCTTGATTGGCTTCTTTTTTAATTTTTTATAACTGAGGGAAACATATTTCCTGTCACTTTTTCTTAAAAGATGTTGACAGATGTTCTCATGTTCTAGTTGTTGTTTATTATTGTGTTCTTTGCAAGCTTAATATGTTAGGGTCTTCTTGAGCTGGATTTAAAGACATAGGACTTCTTCCCGGGAATATGTGCTAAAGATTTGGGGGAAATAAACTGAAAAGGGGAGGCCACTACACAAGTAATAAGACACTTTTTGAAAGTTTTTCAGCACAAACTGCCAATAATTATAATTCTATGAATCAGTTTAGATGGTAATTCTATCATTAGCAAATTCCTTGTAACTGTGGTGATCTCTTGTAGGGATTTGTCAAACAACGAACTTGGAAATCTGCCATCGCGCATCTTCAGAAACATTACAGCGGTAGAATTTCTGTGAGTAAGATTCTTTTTGACATTAAAGATTGTATATAAAATTTTAGAATGTGGTAAATAGAATAGCTTCCTAGATTATGACAACTCTAATTATAATGTACTTTCAGAAGGCAAACATTAGTTTCCTTTGAAATATTACGTATAATATTATTGTATTGGAGGATCGAACTACTCAGGCAATGAGCTTGTAATTTGTAGCAGGAAATGGATCATAAAACATTTTTCAATGGATCATAAAACATTTTTCAAATTCAGCTTTAAACAATAGACCTCATGAAGGCGCTTGGGAATAAACTTTGGATTTCTCGAGCTTAACCTTGAAAGTATTATTCTCATGTTGGATGTTTTTCTTTGAAGAGTAAGAAATGAGAACTGAGAGCTATTTTATTGGAGAAAGCATTGTCATTGCCTTGCCTGAACTACGGTAGTGGCCTAAAAAAAAGAAAAAAAACAGTGTTAAAGATATCACTCCACAGCTACATCTGCATATGTAGTCTAAACTGTCCATTGTGCTTTCTTCAGGAAATTGGACTACAATAAAATTGAGAGGCTTCATGAAGATCAGTTCCAGGGTTTGGTAAAGTTGATGGAATTGTAAGTACACTCAGAGTTGAAACCTTTTCCCAAGATGAGGGGATTCGCAAACTATCTGCGGCTTTGGCGAGGGGCTAACGCTCAAAACGGCCGCTGTTTTAAATTCTTTACAGAGGCCATTTTACATTTATCAACTCAGTTGATAACAGCAAAATTACTACATTATTGTAATGTTAACTCTGTCATTGATTAAATGAATGTGCCACACCCAATTGCAATCATAGTATGTTACTGTATTTTATTATTTATCTTTTATTCCTTTTACCTGTATAAGATATCTCTCGGAGAACAAAATCGAGGCTTTGCCTGACAAAATTTTTATGGGCGTCGGAAACCTCAAAGCTCTGTGAGTAACAGTAAATCACAAATAGAAAAAAATTAGAATACTTAAAGCAATGGAAAGAGTATAACAGAAGCATTTAAAATCTGTGATTTAAGTTCACAAATTCTAATACAGATGAATTAAACAATTTTTAAAAATCGAGTTTCCAGATGGGATTTGAACCCACGAACCTCCGTGATCTAGTCGGATGCTCTAACCACTGAGCTACAGGGGACTCTATGGTGAGCAAGGGTCAATTAGTGGGTATTGACTGGAACCGCATCACGCGGCTACACAGCCAAACATCAGCTAGCGCATAGAAGCTCACTAACAGCATCACGCTGTCACATTAAACTAGATCACGGAGGGTCGTGGGTTAAAATCCCTTCTGGAAACTCGATTTTTAAAAATTGTTTATTTCATCTGTACATGCTCACTTTGGAGGCTGGTTGGCTGCATGTGATGCTTTAATGTGACAGCGTGATGCTGTTAGTGAGCTTCTATGCGCTAGCTGATGTTTGGCTGTGTAGCCGCGTGATGCGGTTCCAGTCAATAGAGCATCCGACTAGATCACGGAGGGTCGTGGGTTCAATTCCCATCTGGAAACTCGATTTTTACAAATTCTAATATCAAGTAAATAAAAATAAGCTGATTAACAAAGTAATACTGTAGTGATTTATGTTTGAATAAAAGTGGGGCATTTTATGAACATACTTTTAGCGAGCAAGGCTAGATATAAGAAAAGCGCAAACACCCATGGTTGAGAGCCAGATAGTTTCACTGCAGTTCCATGTAAATCTATGAGGAAACAGACAATCGTGAGACCATGTCTACTTACTAATTGTGAGTTATTGTGTTATTCGTTTCAGAGATATTTTCGGGAATAAGATACAAAACATTTCCAGCACGACTTTCACCTATGCCCAAGAATTGCGATTTTTGTAAGTGTACGGCAAACAGTAACAGTTTATCATTTCCCTTTGCTATATCCAAGTGTAATATTGCATGTAGACACATTTCGACATATTAGTCATGGTTTACGTACTTCGCAACGAGTTATTCTTACTGAGATAAGTGTGATTATTTTTTTCTCAGCTTGTGAGCGGGCGGTATTCTACAAATTTTGCAATCTGATTGGTTCCGAGAGCGGGCAGCATTCTCCCCATCCAGCCCGCTCACAGTGGGCGGTATCCGTCTCGCTCACGTCATTTGGCAAAACATCTCAAGCTTCGTTACAGCTTTTTACAAATATATCTCATTTTGCCGCCCGGGTAGAATTTTTGAGCAAAGACTTCGGTCACGACCTTTTGGCGATAAATAATATTAATTTTTCTCTTCTCTCTTACTCTCAAATCACTTTGGTTTTTCTGCAAATAATTTGTTTTTAAAACGATTGAAACGCGGCCCAAAAAGAGTTTTTTATTTCATGTTCTAGACAAAAAGTAACTCAGAAAGTTACTACGAGAGATGGATGCAGTTAACAATTATGTTAATTAATGTGACTCTCATCGGTTAATATCTGAATTCTTCAACACAATTTGTCCGTTTGTGAAACGATGAACGAAGATTAAAGTTCTTCTATAAATACACTTTCACTTTATTCTTTGCAAATCCCTTGAATTTGGACATTTCTACCGTAACTTTCCCATTAGAAACCGGAGTAATTCGATGAATAAAAGTTGCAAGAAATCCCTTTGTGTCATTTTGTTATGGATACCGCATTCGGCCTACGGTCTTGTGTGGTATCCAAGTCCTCGGGCAAAGTCTTTCCTAATACGGACCTCCTGCCTGGTGAATAACATAACTATGTTGGAAAGGGGTCTTGGTTACTTGCTCTCTCGTCTTCTAAAATCCCCATTTTTGTCATTTTTGAGGGCCCCAACCGTATGGGTATCAAGGAAATTGAGGCAAATTTGTTCATTGACAGTGGTACACCCTTCTGTTCCTTCCTGTCCTCTGAATCCCAGGGAGTCACATAAAGTGTTAAGAGTTGAATAATTTGGGGGGTGTGAGAGCTGGTTGGAGCAACGGAAAGAGGAGAGCCCAAAAGCTTAAAAATACTTAGGTTCAAGACAGCAGCATCTTTATAAATTAGCGAGTGATATTAAATTGAATCGCTTTCCTTTAATTTGCAGTTATTCCCATTACAATGAAATGCGAGAATTACCGGCTGGTTTCTTCTCAATCATGAAATTTTTAATAACAGCGTAAGTCAGCGGAATATTCTCGATGTCTGAAGAGAAATTTCATTTATCTGTATACAATGAGGCAGCTTGTAGAGCATTACTATCACCCTTTCATTGTTTGCAATTTAGATATTGAAACGAATCAAAAATTTTCCATTTTATTCCTATTTTGTGATTCATTTCAACTCTTTTCATGAACCGTAGGACTGTAGACACCAACCTGATGTGTTGTCATTTGAGGAAAGAGACCGCGGATTGTGACTATGCTTATGTCGACATGTCCAGCTTCTCTAGTTGTGAAACTATGTTCAGAAATCGAGCTCCTAGGATATGTCTCTGGGTGTTCGGAATTATGTCGTTGCTTGGTGCAGTGTTTGTGATCGTCTGGCGGCTGGTATTTAAGGAGACGAAGAAAAAAAACAAAATACAGTCTATCATGTTGATACATTTGGCTGGGTCTGATGGACTGATGGGTGTCTACCTTATTATAATAGGTGTGATGGATGCCATTTGGGCAGGGCAGTTCTTCTTGCATGACTATTACTGGCGTTCAAGTTTGTCATGTCAGATAACAGGTGCCATTGCCGTGTTGTCAAGTGAGGTGTCTGT